TTGCTGACAGAGCGCTTCACGTGGAGACAGCCTGGCTGGCGTGGGTGCAGGTGAGGACCAGGGACAGGGCAACGGTCTGGCATCTGAGGTGGATGGGGCCCAAGCGGGGTGTGTCCTTAGTTTTAAGCTGCGAGAAACTGGAGGGTGTTTATATCTTTTTTTTTTTTTTTGAGGGTGTTTATATCTTGGTAGGACAGCTCCCCAGGACCATATTTTCAATCAGTTTACTCTGACCCATCCAGGGACGTCAAGGCTAATGTTTGACGCTGGGGCTGGGGCTTGCTGGGAAATGCAGAGGAGGTCACCTCCCAGTGAGGGAGGCAACATTTGATGGGATGTTGGCAGGTCTGCCTGCTTGAAGTGGTGGGGTACTGCCCAGTGGAGTGAATGCCTGTGAGTTTGTGGGGAGATGTAAACTGACCTTGAGTTGGTTGTGGAAGACACACCCTGCCATCGGGGAGTGCTTGGGAGCCAGATGTCCTGAGTGGCAGGAGGGCATGGGGAACACAAGCTCTTAGATCGTGAGACAGCCCGGCCAGCAGCTCTGTCAAAGGTGAGGCCCGACCACCATGCACGTTTCAGTGCAGACCAGAGGCAAATAACGTATGAGTTTGGTAGCTTTTGCAAATCTGTTGTTGTTGGTAGTGTGTGTCCTTTCTCCTATACCAACAACTAATAAAAATGAAAACCAGAAAACGGTGGGGTCGTTTGCTTATTTCAGGGATAGCAGGGTAGGGAGGATTGAGCACTGCAGTGGCTGTGGCCGTAATGAGCCTGTGAAATGAACAGAGGCCAGTCCCCGGAACGAGAAAGCACCCCCAGGGCTTCACATCCCCATCCAGGTTGTCAAGGCCTGCCATGATATCCACCCCAGTCTGATGCAACTCGCTCGTCTGACCACTTTTTGGTCGTGGTGGGGGCTGTTATCACCTTTGGACCTTCGCGTGTGCTCTTCCTACTGATTGGATGCTGTTCTACCTGTTCCACTGGTTAGTTCCTGGGCATCCTTTACATTTTAGCTTCACTGTCAGACCTCCCTTGTCCCCTGCACTCAACCCCATTCTTAAGTCAGTTCCCTTTCCGTTACCAAGGGTCTCTCACTATTCTGTCTATAGTATATTTTCCCTCCGTAGTATTTTTCACTATTTGTAGTTTCATGCATGTGTGACAACCCTGCTGGATCACAGACCCACATTGTCAGGACCTATCCTGACACATCTAGCATGTAGTCAGTGTTCAGCCCATTTTTGTTTGGACGCATGCGCAGGTGCCCCCCGTGTCTCTGGGACTCTAGGCGGTGGGGTGCAGACACAGGTGCCCCCGTGTCTTTGACTTTGGGGTGGTGGAATGTAGCAAGTACGGGTACCAGCTTGGATCCAGACTTAGACCCCAGCTCTCACCTGCTTGCCCATGAGCGGGTGTCTGAGTTGCCTCCTCTCTGAAATGGGCGTCTAACCTTTCCAGTCCCATAGGTCACTGGGAGAGGACCTGAGTGAGGGCTTAGGGTCGTGCCTGCCACCAGCACTTGGTACAGGTCAGCTGGCTCCAGCAGCAGTGGTGGGGCTGCAGGCATTGGGGCCCATGCTCAGGGGTTGTGCCGTGAGGATGCCGGGCTATGATCAGGGAAGGCGGGGTGGGGGCGCTGCTGGTGGGCTGGGCCAACGCCCCTGAAAGGCATGGCCCAGACCACCTTGGAACAGCTCTGCTTGAAGTTGAAAGAGCATGTTAGGTACCAGGGAGTCTCGGAAGAGAAGTTCTTGCTCTGCCGACCAGCCGAGTTACAGGTGAATCTGGTCCAGCCCTGAAAGGAAGGAAGGTAAGCCCCCGGCCTTGGGTGGCATGCCACTGTCGTCCCCAGTGGGGAGCCAGCTGCAGCCGGGGCTGGGCTCCATCCACAAGCCATCACGCAGCCCTGGCTTTATGTCGGCCGTGGATCATTCAGCTGGTGTGGTGCATGGGAGACATAGCTCAGCGTTGTGGTAGGAGGGCAGGGAGACGGCCATCCCTTCCCAAAGAAGACTGGTGAAGAAGGGAGGCAGGTGAAAGAGGGGCGCTGGCGGTGAGAGGCAGGAGGGGCCGGCCTGCCTCGGGGAGGGGCACGCGGCGGAGCGGGTGTCAGGCCCCTGCCTGCCCCGTCCTCACCCAGAGCGTGAGGGTCGGAAGGATTTTGTAGCACTGAGGGCCCTCGTGCGGTGCACTTCTGGGACGTTCTATATGCACCTTGAGGAGGAGGAGTGGAGAGAGAGAAGGGGGAGGAGGCGGCAAGCGGGAGGCGCAGAAGGCAGGGCCGAGCGGCGCGCAGACGCTGCCGTCCGTGGCGTGCGCCGAGGGCTGGCGGGCAGGAGGGACGGCAGAGGACGGGCTGGCTGCATCCGCTGTTGGGGTTTTACCAGAGGTGTTGGCGGCCACCCCCACCCCCGGAGTTCATCTTGGTTAGGTGTCGGGCTCTGCCATGTGCCGTGAATAAATGAGCACTCTGAGATTACAATTACACGTATGCGTGCATGTCGGTGATATGTGTGTGTTGCCTTTTCTTCTCTGCAGAGCCTGCGTTTGAGCAGTTTAAAGTGTCGGAAAGGTTGCACGGGACCTGGGTCAGACTGTACTTGGAGGGGAATAGCTCAGAAGCCCTTTCCAACCTGGGAAGCAAGGTTCGCAGGCAGTACTTGGACGCGCTGAGGGCCCTGAGCCTGTCCCTGAGCAGACAAGCAGCCCAGTATGACATCTACTCCATGGCGGTGGGGACCGTCCTGGTCCTGGAGGTATGGCTGTCTGTGCAGTGTCGCGGCTCCGCTGTTAAACTGGGCAGCTAGCTCGGCCGGCATTGGGTAGTTTAAGGACATAGAAAGTTTCTAGAGAAGCGAAGGCAGAGCCCCCTGCGTGGCGGAGTCGCGGACGCCACCGCTGCTTCCTGTTGCAGGTCCTCGTGCTGCTTCTGCTCAGCGGCCCCCAGGCGCTGAGCGGCAAGGCCGAGCTGGATGTCCCTCTGCCGTCGCCCGCGTTCTCTCTGCTCTGTTACCTGCTGCCCCTGGGCCTCGCAGCGCTCCACGTCACCGTGTGCACCTCCGCAGGCGGTGCGTGCTACCTGTGCAGCCTCCCGTGGCTGACAGCAGGTGGGCTGATGGTGCTGGTTTCCACACTGCTCTGCGCAGTCCTGTCTGCTCTCACTGGGATGTTTGCTGGTGGAAAGCGTCTGAGTAAGGTAAGGCCGCCTTTCCAGATAGGCTGTTCTTGTTACTCCAGCTGATGAGACACGGGTTAAGCCCCTGGTGCGTACCAGGCGTGGTGCTGATGGGAGCCGAGGAAAGGGCCCACCCTTCATGGGAGCCGACAGGACGTGCTCACAGTGGCTGGTCTCCCGGGTCCCTGGGCATCCCGACTTGACACGCTCAGACCTGTGCTATGAGGTCTCATGCCTTCCTTCTCAGAAAGACAGGGTCCCTGGGACTGTAACCAGGGGACTGTCCAGAGCTACTGGCACAGAGGCACAGGCAGCTGGCTGACGGGGGGCCAAGAGGAGACAGACCCCGTCCTCATCCTGCCTCATAAAATGCAGTTTCCTCTTCTAGAGTGATGTTTTCCTTTAGAGTTCTTGCATCCTTTGGCCTCTGACCCCTTCATTCATCAGCTGCTTGTGGTGGCAGGGTGGCGAGAGAGAGGTGGGCAGTCCCAGTTGGTCCACAGTGCCCAGAGCCCAAGGGACCCAGTGCAATGACTCGTCACAGGGCCACAGACGGCCCCCCCCCCGCCCCCCGCAACCTGTGTGGTGTCGTTTACCACACATATCTCTCCCCGCTGGAGCATGGGCTTCCCTAGAGCAGTCTGATTCTCCAGGGCCTGACCAGGCTCACAGTATCAAGCTCTATCATGTACTAGCTGCACACAGTTAGTAGAACAAATATCTAGTAGTACTGAATGACAGCCATTGAGTCCTCATTTTACTTTAAATGCTTTAAATTAGTGTATTTAAGGGCTAGTACTGTGATGCCAACTGCTGTAATGGAAACTCTCTGGATTTCTGGAAAGTTCTTGGAGAACTTAGGTGTCTGGTTCGGTGGAATATAGCCTTGGGGCTCTTTGGTTTCCAGTAGCAGGCAGTGGCTCAGAGGGCAAGGACAGGCTGCAAGGAGGGTCCAGCCTGGGACTGGTGGGCGAGCGCTGCAAGCTCTGGCACTGCCGAGACCGCTTGGGTCCAGACATCTTCAGTCTCCTTGTCACTCAGCTTAGGACTTGCAGTCCGGGGAGGACCGCGCTGCTGTTTCCATGTCCTCCTGGCGGTGCTCGGGGGGACGGGGAGTAGTGGGTGCCGGGCGTGAGAGGCAGCAGTGTCTGTCACGGCAGGTTAGGTTCTGTGAGCGAAAGCTGTAAGCTCGGGCAGCAAGAAGATGATGTGCTGTTCAGATTTTTCCCTTATAAAATACATTTTCCTTTTTACAGAATCCACCTCAATGCAACTCAAGGTGGTCGGAGTTAGATCTTCTCATCTTGCTGGGGACCGTGGGCCACATGTTGAGTCTGGGCGCCAGCAGCTTCATCGAAGAGGAGCCCCAGACCTGGTACTTCCTCGTCAACACGCTGTGCCTAGCTCTGTGCCACGAAATCTACAGAAACTGCTTTCTGGGAGACGACTGTGCGCCTCAGCGTTGCCCGCACGCGGGAGAGGACTTTGACGGGGTCGCAGTGGCCCCACAGGGCAAGAGCCCTGGCCCTGACGTGTGGGAGCTCGACAGAGCGTCCAAGCACCCCTCTCCTGTGGGAGCGCTCAGAGGCCCTGAAAGGTGGATGGTGCTGGCGAGCCCGTGGCTGATTCTGACCTGCTGCCGGCTGCTTCGGTCACTGAACCAGACGGGTGTGCAGTGGGCCCACCGGCCTGACCTGGGGCACTGGCTCACCAGGTGAGGGCAAAAGCTGTGGCCACGGGCCAGACCCTCCATAGGCCTGTTTTTCATATTCAGGATAGAAGTGGTATTTGAGATCTGAAGAAATAGAAAACTGACCCGTGATTTGACATTGAGAGGTGAATTTATTTGAGGCTAGCTTGATAGTTTGGTTTTTTATCGCTGAATCCCTGTAAGTGTTCATGTTTGAGAACCTGTGAATTTTAAAATGATCACTGCAGCAGGATGTAGTTTGTCACTCGCTGCCCTGTGTCCCCAGTGGTGCGAGGCTGGGGTGACAGGCTGGCAGGGCATGTGCCCAGGAGCCCTTGGGAGAGTGGCTGTGCCTCCTGTGCTTCCGCCCTTCTCTGCCCTCCTTCCTCTCTCCCCGCCCCCAGGAAGGGCAGCGGCGTTGGCTGGAGCCTGTAGGTGAGCCTTCAGCCTCCTCTGAGGCCTCTCGTGAGTGGCTGAGAAATGTAGAAAGTACAGCAGATACAGAGGATTGAAGTACAGAGAAGAGACTAGGACAGAAAAGACCAGCATTTGGCTACATCGGCTTAACGGCTCTTGAATACTTGGGCTTTGTGAGCGTGAGCTGCAGTGACTAGAACAGGAAAGAGCCCTGCCTTCCCAGGGCTCAGCTCGCTGAGGTGGCAGGGAGTGGTGGGCAAGGGCCAGGCAGAGAGAGGGCCTGTGACAGCCACGTGCCCAGCCTCTTCACCAAGTCTCCCCGCCTGGGAGGGGGCAGACACTCCTGAGTGAGTCTGTCTGCACTGACGAGTGAATGGAAGAGGACAGTGCCGGGATGTGTGCGTCTCCCATGAGTGGGCGCACGCTGGTAAATACGCAGTTTGCACACAACCTCTTCACCTGTGGTTGGGGAAAATGAGGCTGCCCCAGAAAGGGGGCACCAGGGGAGCCAGTAGGCAGTGTTGAATATATCACTGCCCTGGCCAGTGCAGAGCTGATGGTAGGTACCAGTTGTGAATGAGCAATGAGAGATTGGGTTAACGGCCCTTTATTTGTTCCACTTTAAGAAACTGTTTGAATTTTAAAAACCAAAAATTTGCTTTTCAGGAAAATGAGCTCTTTTTAGTACAGTTCTTAGAAAGCCACTTGGTGTAGATCCATAATATCACTAGTTATCCTTGGTAGTAATTTTTGGCATTTTACATTTCATTTCAGCTCTGATCATAAAGCTGAACTCTCTGTTCTGGCCGCAGTTTCCCTCATCATGATTTTTGTGTTGGTTCAGAAGAGGTGCTCCCTGGCATCAAAAGTGGCCATGGCGTTTGGCCTGCTGGGCATCTATTGCTACAGGGTGGCCATTGGAAATCTGCTGTTCCCATGGCAACAAAACAACAAAGACATTTCAAAGTAAGTGTACTGGCAGACACAAGCATTTGTTTTTAGATCTGTTCTAATGTTTTATGTACTAAAAAATGCCATGCAATCTTGAGAACATTGGAGTTTGGTCTTTGTGAATTGTGATTTTGTCAACGGTTACTGACAGTGCCTCAGTGAACCAATTCTGTTAGCCTCTTTTTTTGATAGGAGAGAGACAACCTGGAAGTAAGGTCACTAAGATTTATTTATTTATTTTTTTAGTAAGGGATTCTTTAAAAATAAACAATTTAAAGGATTCAGTTTTGCTCCATCAAGAAGTAACTAGTAGTGAGGATGATAACAAGTGGATGCTGCCTAGGAGTTGGGGGGTGAAGCATGCCAGAAAACCAAACTTTCCCATAACTTACGTGAGTTCCTGGAGCGGGGGCTCATGGTGATTGAATCGTCAGTACCACTTTTTGCATGTCAAAGTGGCAGTTTTTTTGTTTTTAATGGTGATGTGGGCTGGGGTGGGCAGAGCCTGTTCTGGAGGGCTGTTCATAAAACATGTTAAGAACCTTGACTTTGTCCAACCCTCTGACTTGGGTGTCCTCTTCTAGAATTTATCTCAAAAATACAACCAGAGGTGAGGCGAGAGACTGGGATACGGGCATGCTCTCTGAAGCATTACTTTACAGTTGCACAGAGTAAAAAACAAGGTAGTTGGCCAACAGTAGTGGGTAAGCCTCGGAGTTATGGTTTCAGGTCTTACATTTAAGTCTTTAATCCATTTTGAATTTATTTTTGTGCATGATGTAAGAGAGTTGTCCAGTTTGATTATTTTAAACATAGCTGTGTAGTTTTCCCAACACCATTTATTGAAGAGGCTGTCTTTCCCCCATTGTATATTGTTGCCTCCTTTGTTGTAGATTAATTGCCCATATAAGTGTAGGTTCATCTGGGCTCTCTATTCTATTCCATTGATCTATGTTGTGTGTTTGTGCATTACCATACTGTTTTGATTACTGTAGCTGTGTAGTATGGTTTAAAGTTAGGGCATGTGATACCTCTGTCTTTGTTCTTCTTTCTCAAGATTGTTTTGGCTATTTGGGGTCTTTATTGTTTCCCTA